ATCTCTCAACCTATGTTTTAACAGAAGTATTTTTTATGTATCTACCAAGTCATGGGTATTGCACTAATATCTTTATTTAACTTAAAATGATACATACAGCACAGTGTTACTTTATTTATCTATTATTGTGCAGTGTTCCAATAGCCAAGGTGATGAATATTTTATTTATATATATATGTATATATATATATACAAACATATATATATATTTTTATTTTATTTTTTCTAAACTGAGTCACTTCTGACAATGAAAGCTGTCACTGCTCATAAACTTTGCTAGAACAGTGGTACAAATAGACTATGAAGCAAACCATGGTCCCCCAAAATCTCTCTGCTATTAGCTCCCAAATATTTATATTCAGATATCCCCTCTCTTCAGCCCTCAGATTGGGCTCATGTGTCCACCTCCTTACTGGGTGCCTCTAGCAATCAACTGCTTCTAACAGCTGCTGCCTATATTTTGTATAACCAAATTTCTATATTGTTCCTTTTTTCACATCTGCATCGTGATTATGAAATTATTTTTTCCTGGGAAAGCCTTATTTCCTGTTCTTTTACCTACAGCTTTTGCAAATTCATGAAATTTTCTTATGTGCCCACATATTATTCAATGGAACTTTTCACTTGTAAACTGTAATGAAAGAAGCTGACCTTACTTGAGTCATTTATAGTTCTGGCACTTAAAAATCATGCCTCGGAATTACCCCAAAATCATTCATGTCTTGGCTACGGCATAGTAAATGCAGATAGAACTAGTTGGAACGTTGTAGTGGGTAAGTAAACAAATGTAAAACCATGCAAGACTTTGTATGGCAAGGAGTTTGAATTTTATGATGAGGGCTTATGTAAGCCACTAACCTATTATTTTTTTTTTTTTAATCCTCACCAGAGTATATTTTTCCATTGAATTTTTTAGATGGAGTGGGAGGTCGGGAGGGAGAGAGAGAAACATCAATGTGAGAGAGACACATCAATTGATTACCTTGCATGACCCCGACTGGGCCAGAGATCAAACCTGCAACCAAGGTACATGCCCTTAACTGGGAATGGAACCTGTGACTCTTCTATCTGTGGGTTGATGCTCTAACTGCTGACTTAATTGTACAGATATCACTCTGGCTTGATCACTGTGTGGGCAATGAAGTGTATTGTGTGTTGGGAAATTCAGAGACTATTTAAGAAGTCATTGCAATAGTTAAAGTAAGAGTTAATAGAAACCTGAGTAGGGTGATGGCAGGAAAATGGAGAAAAATCTGTTAAGTTGAGCTACAATTTTAAGGTAAAATCTCTAGGACTAATTGATAAACTGATGTGAGAAGAAGATGCTGTTAAGTATCATTTACTGAGACAGGGAGGGCTAGTTTTAGAGGCAGCTGATTTCTGGTAGCAAGCAAAATATTAGTTTTGAATGCACTAAGTTTTAAAAACACCTGTAAGACTTCTAAGTGGAGATGATACATTTAAGAGTTATCTATATAAATTTTTTTTCTTTATTGATTTTAGAGAGAGAGGAAGGAAGAGGGAGAGAGAGAGATAGAAACATCAATGAGATTGCCCACCTCTTGCATGCACTCCACTGGGGATTTGGTCCACAACTTGGTCATGTGCCCTGACCGGGAACTGAACTGGTGACATCTTGGAGCATGGGTCAATGCTCAACCACTGAGCCACACCAACAGGGCAAGGAATGAAGGCTCAAAGAAAACTTTGATAAGCTCTTAGGAGCTGATATCTAGCTTGCTACTGTGGCTAAGAATTACTCCACAGAGCTTTAATTTAAATGGGATGTGATACATTCTATAAGATTGGGACTGATTGGAGAATCAACAAATATGTCAATTCCTTTTTATAGAACAAGGAAAGATGACAAATGAAAAGGCCTTGAAGAATAGATAGAATTTGAACATATGTAAACAGAGAAAACAACATACTGGACAAAACATAAAATAATATAAGCAAAGTCCCAAAGAGGGAAAGGTGTGCTGCATGTGTAGAGATAAAAATGATTCTTTCCCTATAATACAGGATCCCAGGCTTAAAGGAGAAACAGTCCTTCATCTGGTAAGTGGATAAACATGAAGATTTTGTTTTCCTGTGTCTGGGTAGAAGGTATGATATGATCAGAATTTGTTTTAGGAGACAAATCTTATACAGAGAGTGATATCCTGAAGCAGAGATTCTGGAAGCAGAAAAGGAAACTGGGAGACTCTTTAAGTGCTATTGGGATTTTGTTCAACCGACAAATGAGAGACATCTTAATCATCAGCCACAAAGTAGGTGTAGTTAGTACACACAAAAAACTACAGTTCCTGTCTTCAAAGAGCCCCCAGTTTCACTGGAGAGGCAAGAATTAATTACATTAAACTATTAAGAAACAAACATTCAGGGCGGGGCAAAAATAGGTTTACAATTGTTTGTGTGGAAAATAATACAATAATTAATAAATAATGACGAATAAACTCTGTATTTCGCATACTCACAACTATACACCTACTTTTGCCCCACCCTGTATGTATATTGGGAACTGTGAGATTGTGATTTATAACAAGAAAACTATATTTGATCTTTTTCTCCAGTTCTGGAACACAGCTCCTAAAACACTTAGAATTTTTTTAAGTGATAAGAGCAGAATAACAAAGATGTCTTTTTCGTTAGTGAAGTAAATTTTGGACCATGCCTAAGGATGCATCTGTTTTCCAAGGGACCCAACCACGTGATTAGAGGGTTGGAATTTTAGTCCCATACCTGACCTCTGGGGAGGGGAGTAGGGCTAGAGATTGAGTTCAGTTGTCAATGGCCAATGATTAGTCAATCATGCCTATGTAATGAAACCTCCATAAAATCCCAAAGGGACTGGGTTCGGAGAGCCTCCAGGTTGGTGACACGTGGAGATTTCAGGGAAAGGGGTATATTTAGTGAGGGTATGGAAGCTTCACACTTTTTCTTCATACCTTGCCCTGTGCATCTTTTTCATGTGACTGTTGCTGAGTTACATATATTCTTCATAATAAGTGAGAAATCTAGTAAGTAAAATGTCTGAGTTCTGTGAGCCACTCTAGTAAATTAATTGAACCCAAGGAAGGGGTTGATAGAACCACTAATCTATAGCTGATTGATCATAATAACCTGGACTTACAATTGTCCTCTAAATCAGGAGTGCACAGTATTGTAGGACTGGGCCCTTAACCTGTGGTGTCTTGTCGTATCTTCAAGTAGATAGTGTCAGAATTGAGTTGAACTGTAGGACACCCAGCTGGTGTTAGAACATTGAATGGTTATGTAGGAAAACACTTTCACCCCCACACAAATTGGAATTGGTGACCAGAACCTTTAGTAATGTATCAGTGTTGTGTTTTCTATTCCTGATCTTTTCTTCTTGGCCAGCGTACCCTGCCAAAGTTCACACATAAAATCAAATTCCACAAAACAGTGCTTTTTCTAGGTAGTTGCCCCAGACCACTCCTGATTTACTCTAGACCTGTAACTCTGGCTTTGTCCTTCTGTGTCTCTAGTGATTTGCTTTGGGCCCAAACTCTTAACACTTATTTGTGGACACCTTGATTTTGTATCCTTTTTACTTAGACTTGATTTTCTCTTTAGCTCTAAATATTGCTTCATTTTCTAATGTTGACATCCCAGGGGCCTCTAGTGAAAATTCTACCTGTTCTCTTTTTTCTTACTGCCTGCCTAGACCAGAGGCCATTGCCCCTCTCCATGACCACCTTAACTTCCATAAAACCTCCTCCATCAAATGTGGCATTTTGATATATAAAGACTTTACTACAATCTCCTATTAGAAAAGATAAAATACTTATGGACTAGATTTAGTAGGATGTGATTTTAATAGATAGTGAGAGTCAAACATGGAAACCTCTGTTCCTAAGATTAATCAGTATAACTTTTTTTTTTTTTATCCTCACCCGAGGACATTTTTTTGTTCAGATAGAGTGGGAGGGAGAGAGAGAGAGAAACATCGATGTGAAAGGGACACATCGAGTGGCTGCCACCCAAACGACCAACCAGGGCCAGGGGCAAACTGCAACCGAGGTACGTGCCCTTAGCAGGAACCAAACCCAGTTCTCTCTGGACCACAGGCCAACGCTCCAACCGCTGAGCCAAACCAGCCAGGGCAATCAGTATAACTTTTTAAACCAGTACTTGCCACCTGGTCCTAAATTCACCAGTAGGCTTGTCAGAAAATAAGTATATGAGCAATGTCATTCAAGTTATTATATTAGATTGGCTATGATAACAGACCCAGAAATATATATTGACTCAAACATAATTGCCATTTATTTCTGGCTCCCACAGAGTATGAGTTAGATAATCCTTATCAGTGAGTAGTTTTTCAAGTAGTAATTCAGGGAGCCAGGGTCTTCCCACCTTGTTTATCTTGGATCTTCTAGGGCCTTATCTCTGTGCAGTAGAACAGAAGAAGAAAGAAAAAGGAGGCACATTTTTTTCTTAATAGCTGTGGACCAGAAATTACACGTATCACTTCTGCCTTCATGCTGTTGGAGGGACTTAGTCTCATGGTCACAATAATAGCAAAGGAGGCTGAGAAACTTGGTTCCTTTGTGTGTCCAATGAAGGGAAAAACAATGTTGTTGGCAGCTATTAGTTTCCACCAGAGTTAAGAAAAACAAGGTAAAACAGGTTAAAAGTTATTTGCAAATATGAGATGACTATATGTGAAAATAATATGTATGATTAAATATAAGATGCTGCCATTGAGTCACTGAAAGTTAAGTCATTTTTGAAAAAAATAATGCAGGAAACACGGGAATCAATGTATTTCTGTTAAAATGTTTCAAGAGTGATTCTTCTTTCCAAAGTCATGAATTGAAAAGGGACATTAGTTGGCAAAAATGCTTCTTCATATAAGTAAATAACATGCTCTTGTGAATTTTATTAATATATCTTTCAAAACAATGGAGACAGAAAATAAACTGTGGTTAACACTTGTAAAATGTATTACATTTTTCTACTGTGTGATGTAGGTCAACAGTCTGAAGATGAAATTGAAAATGAAGAATTGCATGCCAGTTTCAAGATACCAGTGTTCAAACTGCCCATACATTCTGCAGATTCACTGAAGCGTGCTGCAGTATTGAAAGAGAAAGAACGCGATTCTTGTCCTACATACACCCAGCCACTTCCTACGACTCATCCAAAACCAGTAATTAAAAAAAAACACCCGCTGTTGGAGGAGAATGTAAGAAGAGAGTTTTATACAACACACAGAACTGGTATAAAACTCAAAATACTTTATGATATTGATAAATATCACTCGGAACAAAAGAAGCTGGAAAGCTACAAGGAGAAAGTAATGGCTGTATCTATGGCACAAGTTGCCCAAGAAAAAGGTGCCTTAATTGTTCAAGAAACTTTATATAAGAAAAAATGTGCCGCGCAGAAACGAATGGCAGAAGATAACAGGGCGATTCAGACGGGTTTACAGCAACTTTGGCAGGACAGATCCAACTACCTTCAGAAAGTTAGGGAGAGGAGAGCCTTGTTTCTAGAAGAAAAAAAACAAAGAGCTAAAGACCGCTTATTAATTCAAGACTTAAGTAATGAGCGCAGTGTTTGGACCAAAGGCCTATATAAAATTGACAGACTAAAGGAGAAGAAAGCTCTCTTAAATGAGAAATGTCTGATTGTTCAGCAAAGACGAGAAACAGAAAAATATCAAAAGGATTTACTTAAACGCACGAAGGAACTTAGGTAGGTCAATTTTTGATATAATAGGAGTATATAAGTCAATTTCATGTGAATATTGCATACTAAATTCTGAGATCTAATAAACAGTACTTGACAATATGGTATAGTCTACTTTGGAAACAACAAACGAACAAATATGTCCTAATATATTACCAAAGATGGGACAGTAAAACAACTCTATCTTTCCCCACCCCCACCCTTATCCTACAAATTCTGCTTCTTAATTAGTGGTTGTTCTTATTGTAAATGGCATCATCATTAGCCTCTTGACCTGTGCTAGTAAACTCAGTCTTTTGCAACTCAGTTTTCCTCGTTGCCAACATCTAATATGTCTCCCTATTAATTTTACTTCTAAAAGGAATCTCAAACATCTTTCTTTTTCAATCCCATTTTTCCTATGCTAATTCATACTCTCAAAATTCCTCTAAGAATTTACATGATCCTTCCAATTGAGACCTCCATCTCCATTCTCCATCCTTTCTGTAACCATATCTGTTCTTCAGTATACAAAGCTATCTTTTCAGTTCAAGTTCCAATCATGCCATTTACTACTTGAATATGTTGATACCTTGCAGTTGCCTGCAACATAAAATCTAATCTCCTCTAAGTGGCATTTCAGACGTAATACTCCATTCCAGTCTGTCTGGGCCCCTCTCACTAAGTCTGATGCTATAGCCTCCTTCCATTCCCCTAGCCTCACTCTTTGCTCCAGACAGACTAAATTATGTACCAGTCTCCACAAAACTTTGTACTTTCTGATCCCTAAGGTCCTAATGATTCTATCCCCTTTTTCCTCAAATATGTACTCTGAAAAGCACTACAAGTTCACAGTTTTACTATTGTCTACATTGTGTAACAAAAACCTCTATGTTATTGAGCATATTTTACTTTGAAGTGTCCAAACTGGTGAAGGGGCGGTGCCCATGTGTGAAGGAAAAGGCACCCTTTCCTTGTGGCAGACACAGCAGTACCGGGTCAGCGCTCATCTGAGTGTGACTGTGTTACGCCTCTTTGTCCCATCACGCGGTGCATGGACTGTATAGCCACTGACAAAATTCATCCTTTTCTCATCCAGTCAACTGAAGGGTACATTCACTACTCCTCTCTCCCCAGCTGCTTTCCCAGTCTGTCCATGCTTTTAATTTGATGGTGCTCTCATAGCAGTTTTTAAATATCTCAATTGTAGTAGTTATCATAAGAGGGCCTCTGTCAGGTTAAGTCCTTTATAGATCACTTGGTCTATCTTTCCATTTCAGTGCCTAGTACAGTAGTTCCCAAAAATCTATTCAGTAATTGTTTATTGAAGAAAATAGGGAAACATTCAGTCTTTTAATTAGTAATGGTTGTATGTAAGTTCATTTGGGTCATATAATAGCTTCTGGTATGAGCAAGTGTTTTTTATATATTTGTACTGAATACTTCAGCCATTGGAATGAGAAACAATGCATTTTTTTCCTAAGTGTTTGTAAAGTGACGATATATAATCAAAATTAATAAATATATGCTAGAACTATAATTAACCAAACTATGAATATAGCTTCACAAGTCATTAGACCAGGTATCTAACTTAGAACAAGTGCTTAATTTCATTACAATAAATTTTTCCTGAAAATTCTTTTTTGTCCCTCTGATCACTGGCATTTCTACTAAGGAATCATTACGTACAGTTCAAATCATTCAAGTAGTAATTCCCTTTCAGCTGTTGAACATGCCAGGTGATTTAGGGACATAAAGATCCTTTGGCCCCAAGAAACTGAAGATCATGGTAGAGATAAGTCATCAGGCAATAAAACTGCTCAAGTGAAATAATAACACAGGCAATAGTACAAACTCTATCAAGGTACAGAATTAAAATTTAAATAAATAGGTGAGAGTAATCTAGGAAACCTTCAAAGAGAAAGCTTACCATCAACATGTCAATTCATTTCAGTTCTCCCTTATACCCCATATAAATATTAATAAGATATTCTTGATCCTCTAAAAACTCACAGCCCAGTGGCAAATATAAGCATATATTTGAATTATTGCAAAGAGTAGAGTAGGAAAATTATAACTGTTGATTAGAATATATGAGGGGAAAGCATTATCAGCAGAGAGGATGAGCAAAGTTGGAAAGTTCAGAACAGATAACATAGGAGAGAGAAAGGAGCTAGTGAATATTGTCCTACCTACAGCAAGCAGAAGGTTTATGAAGGAGACTAGTTGACGTACTATTGCTCCAGAGACATTAAATTGGATTAGAAAGGACCTCCAGATCTCAGTGGACAATCTTATGGTAAAGACCATTAGAAATCCTACCAGAAAAAAATCATTGCATTTGAAACATGAATTTTACCACAGAACCTTCTTGTTAAGAAATAACTCAGAACATTAATCCTCAGAACACACTGTCTCAAACTAATGCAAATTTTTTAAAATTGTTCAGTGATGAAGATTTTTGTATTTTAAACTAAACGTAAGTTAGATGGTTCTAAAACTTTGTATTGATTTAAAATATTTTAACTGAGATTTAGTAAATTTTATTTGTCAAAGGATTTTTATTGAGGTATAAATGGCATATAACATATTAGTTTCAGATACACAATATATTGTTTTGGTGTTTGTATATAACGATCACCACATTACATCTAGCTAACATCTGTAGCCATACATACTTATATATTTTTCTTTTAAATGAGAACTATTAAGATTTATTTTCTCAGCAACTTTCAAACATTCAATAAAGTATTATTAACTATAGTCATGATTCTGTACATTATATCCCCATGACTCATTTATTTTATAACTCTTAAGTTTGTACCTTTTGACCTCCTTTCCCCATGGTACACATTTCTCCCACCTCTGGTAGCCCACCCATTTGTTCTCTTTGTCTGTGAGGTCTGTTTGCTTGTTTGTTTTAGATTACGCGTGTAAGTTAGATCAGATATTATTTCTTTCTCTGTCTGACTTATTTCACTTGGCATAATGCCATCAACTCCCATCCATGTTGTTGCAAATGGCAATATTTTTTTCTTTTTCATATCTATATATAAAATATATAATGTATAATATGTAATATATATACAATGTGTATTATATAATATATATTACCTCTTCTTTACAAAGGATATTTCAAGACCATAAAACTGATTCATAAATATAAAATGAACATGTCAAAAGTTTTATTTTATTAATTAATGAGGGAACTAGTAAGACAATGCAAACAGTTGAAATGAGAATTCTAAGAGCATGCATGTAAATAGGCAGTCAGAAATGTCAAAATAAATTTGGTCATTATCCACTGGCAATAATCAGTTGTAACTCCATTGGACAAAATGTATTTACATTTACATAAACAAAGATCATCTGTGTTACAGTTTTCCTCAACTTATAGAGCTGTAAAGTAGTTCAAAGAGATTGAAATACACAGATAACTCTGAAGGGTATGCTAGACAGGACCCCCGGTAATTTTTTTGAACCCTTTCAGTCTTTCATATAATTTTTTTCCTGCTATTAGATTCAAGCGTAACAGCCACAGTTTTATCCTGGTGATATTTTAATTTGTCAAACTATGTAAATATATATATATAGAGAGAGTTAAATCTTGTCTAGAAATACTTAGAGAATATTATAGCTGCTTATTTCATTTATATTTTTAAATGCTGTAATTTACTAAAATAGTTCATACTAGAAAGGGTGTCTACTAAGAAGAAAGCATTTGCCTTTTCTAGATGTAAGCACTTTTTAAGCTATTTATTGAGGTACTTTATATAATATCTTTTTAATTATGAAAAATATCTTGTCTTTCTCTGCAAAAATTTATAAACGTTTTTATTAATGTATACTCTGTGTGTGAGAAAGAGATTTTTGGAAATAATTTTTCTATAATTTAATAAAAAATATTTTGGAAAAGAGAATGAAAGCTAGTCTCGTATATCAAAACACAAATCTAATGCAAATAAGTATTAGAGAAATTTAATCGGCTTAGATTATTACAGCAAATTGAATGTCTGACCATCATTAATTTGTAGAGGATACAGTCAAGTGAGCTTTCTAATGTATCTTAACTGGATTATCTATTCCTGTAAACTCTTGCAAAGGTATTATCTTTGAAAGCACACAAGAATAAGGCAGCATAGTGTTGTCCTGAAAGGCATTATTGAATTTTATTTATAAATATTTGCAAATTAAGCTAGAGTATCAACATGTAGAAAAGAGCTGTGACTCAAAAAAGTAAACTCTGTCTAGAGACCAGAGTTTTTTAGTTCTTTTTTTTCCTGGTTCAAATACTTGACCTAAAAGCATTCTGATTAATCTCAGTAACTAGTGAAGTCATTACTGAGACAGTAGGTCCCTGCTCCTGCTGCAGCATGAAGAAGAATGAAAGAAGAAAGAGGAACCATAAATCTCTAGTTTAGGAAATGATAAAATACCCACAGGGGCATTTAAGAATAAATTAAAAAGAATCTTTGAATTGAAAGAACTTATGTACCAGGTAAAAGCTGGTGATAAGCTTTTTAAAATATTCTTGTCCATAGTTTGAAAATGTAAGGATATTGCTCAGGGCACATAGCAGGGTGTCCATTTTGAAGCTGAATATCAATTAGCATAAAGACATCCAATTACATCATCATCTGCTTGTTTTAATTTTGGTCATCAATCGACCTCCTAGACAACCCTCTTCATTCACTGTGGTCTTATTTTGATGATCAAGTTTTTCTCCACCACCTTGTACTGTAATCACAGTTAACTTTCAAGTTCATAAGAACAACCCTCTCAATTGCCTAGCCTAAACACTTTCGGATCCCAGCAACCGTTAAACTCATTTCCGTAGACATACAAAGCCCCGTCTTCACTTGGAACTGCCTTACCTCTTAAATTTGAAACTCTTGTATACTTATGTATGGCTAACGTCTTTTATTTTTTAAGTCTTCCTTTACTTTCACCAAATGTATTCTTCTAAGATAGGCCTTGCATATTTTTATTAAACTTGTATCTAAGTATTTTACCGGATTTTTTTATGGTATTGTAAATGGAATTTCTTTCATAATTTTATTTTCCAATTGTTTGATCCTGGTATTCTATTGGAATACTATATAATTACAAACAATCATTATGTTTCTCTTCGATTATTTTAAATAGTTGGGGAGTTTTTTGTTTTGTTTTTTTAATATTTTGTCCACAGTTTATAATTATTATCTGTAGGAGGGCTATTTTAATACATTTTTAAGGCTTATCACTCTTAAATACATGTGGCCAGTCCCTTTGGCCATGACATTCACTCTGCTACATGTCCAGGCAAGACTGTTCTCCAGAGCTCCAGACACAATAGTTGTAGCTAATTTTCAATGAGTGATTGTTAAATTCTAGGCATTCCTCTAAAGATTTTTAATGTATTAGGTCATTTACTCCTTGGTAAATTCTGTAAGATGGATTGTTTCTTCTGAAAGTGAAGAAAATTATACAGACAGAGCTTAAAATAACTTTTCAAAAATCACAATCAGTAAGTTGTAGATCTGAGTTTCAGACACAAGCATTATGGCTTCACTGCCATGACTTCTCTATATTCAACTCCTGGAGCATCACCACATGGATAGCCAGGCTTTTTAAACTCAATTTTACAACAACAGAACTCTCATCTTTTCCCCCAGCTAGTGGTTGTTCCGACACGTTCTGTCCTGATGAATGCCACCCTTATCTGTCCAGTTAAAGAAATGATTAAATAGCAGGCACTCCTCTAAGAATTTTAAATGTGTTCATTCATTTACTCCTTTACCAAATCCTTGGGTCGGATTATCCCCTTTTAAAGATGAAGTTATTGAGGTAGAGAGAATGTAAATAATCTGTCAAAAATCATATGGTGAATGATTTTTAGACTTTCTAGACTTAGGCCTCTGTCCCATTTCCCAAGTCCAGATTTTGAGTTCCCCTAAACACAAATAAGAAGCACCATGATCGAGACTGATTTTCTAGGCCTGTCTGCTCTGCTGTTCTTTGCAAAACTGTGACCCAGACAAATAGAGAGCTGTCACTTCTCAGAGCATGCCCAGCTGCGCTACCCTCTCTGCTTTCATTTCAGCACTGAAGCCTTTCTTGCCTTCCCCTGACTGTTCTCCAGATTGCCGTGACTAATGGTTTCATCATGTTTCATTCTGTCTGGTTACATAGTGCTTTCATTATGGTACTATAGGGTTTCATTTATATATGTATATACCTTTTTGCTCTTTACTTTCTATAAGCTTCTTATAGACATATCGTGTCATACGTTTCCAGCATCTAGGGAATGTGCCAAACTGTATAATACAAAACCATTGAATGAATCTGATAAATAAATGAATTCTTCAAAGGCCCATGAATCAAATTTGACAGTTTAACCTGGTTCATCTTTCTCTAATGTAATAAGAGTCTGTATTAGTCTGCTAGGGCTGCTATTCCAAAATACTACAGACTAGGTAGTTTAAAAAGGAATTTATTTTCTCACAGTTTTAGATGCTGGAAGTCCAAGATCAAAGTGTTGATAGGTTTGGTTTCTCCTCAGGCCTTTGTCCTTGGCTTGCAGGGGGCTGCTTCCCACTGTGTCCTCACATGGCCTTTGTCCTGTGTGTACACATCCTTGGTGTCTCATCTTCTTCTCATATTTGATTAAATCTCACCCATAGGCTCTCATTTAAATTTAATAACCACCTGAAGGTCCTGATGTTCAAATATAGTTGCATTTTAAGGTACCGGGAGTTGGGACTTCACCATATGAATTTGGAGGGGACACTGTTCAGTCAGTAATGGAGTCCTACACAGTGGAATACTACTCTACTATTAAAAAAAAAAAGGAAATCTTACTTTTTGCAACGGCACGGATGGACCTGGACAGCATTATGCTAAGTGAAATAAGCCAGTCAGAGAAAGACAAGTACTATATGATTTCCTCATATATGGAATCTAATGAACAAAATGAACTAACAAACAAAATAGACTCATAGAGAACATACTGACAACTCTCAGAGGGAAGGGGTTTGGGGGCGCTGGGTGAAAAAAATGAAGGGATTAAGCAAACAACAACAACAACGTACTAGAAGAAACTTGGATTTAGTGAGGCTTAAGTAAAAAGTCTGCAAATCATGGCATAGTCTGGTTTAGATGCCTCTTTGGGAATCTAAGCCATGGTTTGTTTGGATTCTGTTATAGCCAATAGAAATCTTAGAATTACCTAAAATGAGTATTAGTGAATGTTATAATAAAAATCTATGCAATCAGTGAAGTTCTGTCTTTATTCTCTGATTTGTATATGTCTATATTGAATACATCTAATTATTAACTAACTGCCTAAATGTTATGGTCTTAGTAATTTAAAAGTATCTCATTCTATTACCTTTCCTTTTTCTTCATAGAGCTCAAGAAGCATATACAAGACGCTGTGAAGAAAAATTTGTTTTTAATATGATTGCCTTTCAAAAATCTTGGGAAAGATTACAAGAAGCCAAAGCAAAAGTTGCGGTTGTGAATACAAATGCAAGTTCCCGGTAGAATGACAGAATGAACCAACACCAGATCACATCCTATGGTCATTTTGAATTATGACTATTATTTTCAGTTAAACGACTTTAAAATAATACCATGAAAGAAGGAATGTTCTGTGTCACAAGAAGGATTTATATATACATCTTTTTTAAAAAAATAAAGAGTAATTAAAATGTTTCTCATACTGATCATAATTTAACTTAAACCAAGTTGACTTGGCACCCCAAGGGTTCCTTATATATCCAGATGTCCAAGGAACAATTAAAAGTGATATCTTTTATTGCAGGAAATATAGCAAAAGGTGTTGCTTATATTGTTTAATATCCTGAGTATAACAAAGCAATTTCCAGTTTCTCTGGCAATCTTACCATAATTATTTCTGTCCTAACTGTTGACTTTTATTAAGGCACTGTCTAATTTGATTAGTTCCATTACCTGCTTTCATGTATTTAATTATATTTTCTGTTTATTTTGTTAAAACAATTTCTAAATTTTTTTCAAAATAAAGTTTTCACCTCTGTATCAGTGATTCATGCTCTTATAAAAATTCAGACAATTTAAAATATAAAAGAGAAGTGAAACATTCCTGTTAACTTTCTCAGATATTATAAAATTTTGTGTATTTATCTTTGAAGAGTTTGCCTTTACATATGCGGGGTGAAAGGAAAGTGGGAGAGGACACATATACTCATCTAGTTGTGATCATAAGGTATACAGACATAGTGTGCACTAATTTTAATACATAGCCATGTTACAAAATTTGAAAAATAAAGAACATCATTAAAAAGATATAAAAATCCTTTGTAAAGTTCGAGTCACTTTTCAATAGCGTATTTATTTAGAAAGATAAATGTCTCACTGTTGTTATGACATTGCTCACTTAATAAAATGTAGCTAATGACATTCAAAATTTTTCTTTTTAATACTTATCAGTTATACATGGAAGCTTTAAAAATTCTCTGATTAGATGGAAGATAGTGGCGGGCAGGACCAGAGGGAGGGTAAGTGTGTGAGAGAGTGAGCTAGTGTGTGAGAGAGTGTGAGTGGACGCTAAGGTGGACGACCAAACACGTGCAGTGCAGAGATGCGGAGCCGAAGGTTCCTGTGCTGTGGATGGGAGCAGCCGGCTATTGCAGTAAGTGGCTCTTCAGGGCACTTCTCCCTGCACCGTGGGGAGGTCTCACCATTTTGGAGGATCCTGGGTCTTCCCTGGGAGGAGGCAGTGGGAGCAGCTAGGGCCCAGCAACTTGAGTCCACCAGTGCACCTGACACCATCGGACCAGTGGAGACCCTGTGTCAACACAGACCAGTGCACAGTAGCAGAACTGTCAAGGTGCTGGATGTGGAAGCCGTGAATGGCTGGGAGCCTAGCACCATGCTCCACAGTAGCAGCCCAATCAGCACCGATATATACCCCCAGCAACAGAGGCTGGAGAGAAGACATCCATCCCCAGGCAACAGAAGCACAGACCAGCAGCTGAGACCCATCCCCCAAAACTGCAAAGGCTGAGCAGGAGCTGAGCCCCATGGGGCAGCAGCACTCCCCAGCTGCCAGCATGGGACCTGGGGCTCCACAGAGTCCTGTGCAACTCAGCAGCCCACAAAAGTGGTGGGAAGCCAGGGCTCCAGAGGGACTGATGCAATCCAGCTGCCCGCGGGACCTGCAGGGTGCTGGGGTATCAGAGAGGCCTGTGCGACCCAGCTACCCACAAGATAGGCATGGAACTGGGTCTCCCAAGGGCTGTGCCATCCAGCTCCCCACAGGATCAGCGGGAAGCAGAGGCTCCAACGGGGCCTGTAAAGCCCAGCTGCCCACAAGATCAGTGGAGAGCCAGGGTTCCAGTGAGGCCTGTGGAACACAGCGGCTGGGAGCATGGCTCTAACAGGGCCTGAGCTATACAGCTACAGGTGGCACCAGCGGCCAGCTGGGAACACAGCTCCAGAGGGGCCCACGTGTTCCAGCAGGAGCACCTACTAGGACACGCCAATACCAGCCTCCAGTAGTCAATCCTCCATGATCCACAACAGGCAAGAGGTGACACACAACAAAACAGTATGGGAGGCACAATAGCCTTATTTGATATACAGTGAGCTGTCTACACATCCAAACATCCCTCACCAGGTCTAGAGCTACCAGATGGCTAAAATGGGAGACAAAGAAACAACATCCAAAGGAAAGAAAAAGAGCAATCACCAGAAAAGGAACTACAGGAAATGGAAGACAGCAACTTGTCAGATAAAGAATTCAAAGTAATGATATTAAGGGTGCTCAAATGATGTGGTGAGAACTACAAGAAACTTAATAAGAATTATGAAGAGCTCATTGGGAACTACTTCAGCTTAAAAAAAGAGGTAGAAGCTATGCATAAAAATCAAGAGGAAATAAAGAATGACATAGCTGTTATGAAAGTGTTCAATAGTAGATTAGAAGAAGCTGAAGACCAAATCAGCTACTTAGAAGACAAGGTAGAGAAAAACACCCAAATAGAGCAGTAAATGGAAAAAAAATTAAAAAGCAGGAGGAAAGTTTAAGGGAGCTGTGGGACAATACAAAACGTAACAACATTCTCATTATAGAGATACTGGAAGGAGAAGAATCAGAGAAAGGAACAGAGAACCTGTGGGAAGAAATAATGACAGAAAACTTCCCTAAACTGTTGAAGGAAGAAGTCACACAAGTCTAGGAAACACAGAGAGTCCCAAGTAAGATGAACCCCAGGAGACCCACAGCTAGATGCATTATAATAAAAATGGCAAACATTAAAGACAAAGAAAGAATCTTAAAGGATGCAAGAGAAAGATAGAAAGTTATCTACAAGGGAGCTCCCATTAAACGGTCAGCGGATTTCTCAATAGAAACGATGCAGGCCAGAAGGGAGTGGCATGAAGTATACAAAGTAATGTAAGGCAAGGGTCTGAATCCAAGATTACTCTATCCAGCAAGGCTATCATTCAAAATTGAAGGATAAATAAAGAGCTTCATGGATAAAAAAAAAACTAAAGGAATTTACCACCATCAAATTAGCACTGCAAGAAATGCTGAAGGGACTGTTGTAAGAAGAAGAAACTGAGAGAGAGAGAGAGAGAGAGAGAGAGAGAGAGAGAGAGAGAGAAACACAGGCATAAAATTAAAATGCCAATGAATACTATCAATAATTACCTTAAATGTAAATGGCTTAAATGCTCCAATCAAAAGACATAAGGTAGCTGATTGGATAAGAAAACATGATCTATATATATATATGCTGACTATAAGAGACCCACCTCACAACAAAAGACTCACACAGGATGAAAGTGAAGGAATGGAAAAAAATTTTCCAAGCAAATGAAAATGGAAAAAAAGCTTGTGTAGCAATACTCATATCTGACAAGATAGACTTCAGAACAAGGGCCATAATAAGAGACAGAGAAGGTCACTACATAATATTAAAAGGATCAATTTAACAAGTGGATATAACCCTGGTAGACATATATTTACCAAATACAGGAGCACCAAAATATATTAAAAAACTTCTGGAGGACATCAAGGGAGAGATCAATAACAACACAATCATAGTGGGTGACTTTAACAGGCCACTGACACCGCTGGATAGATCTTCTAGACAAAATAACAAGAACATAGAGTCCTTACAAGACAAACTAGATCAGTTGGACTTCATTGATATTTACAGAACATTTCACCCCAAAGCTGCAGAATATACATTCTTATCAAGCGCACATGGATCATTATCAAAAATGGGCCACATGTTAGAGCACAAGGCAAATTCAAGAAAATTGAAATATCAAGCATCTTCTCAGATGACAGTGGCCTGAAACTAGAACTCAGTTACAACAAACACACACAAAAACATTCAAACACTTGGAGGCTAAATAGCATGCTGTTAAACAACAAATGGGTTACTAACGAGATCAAGAAAGAAATAGAAAAATACATGGAAACCAATGAAAACAAACACACAACACAAAATCTATGGGACACAGCGAAAGCAGTCCTGAGAGGGAAGCTCATAGCACTACAGGCCTACCTTAAGAAAAAAGAAAAATTCCTAATTGACTATCTAACCCTACAACTTAAAGAACTAGAAAGTAAACAAAAAGAAAAACCCATAGCTAGTAGGAGGAAAGAAATAGTAAAAGTCAGAGCAGAAATAAACGTCATAGAGACTAAAAAAACAATTCAAAAGATCAATGAAACAAAAAGCTGGTTCTTTGAAAAGATAAACAAGATTGATGGACCTTTAGCCAGACTCACCAAGAAACAAAAAGAGAGAAACCAGATAAACAAAATCAGAAAAGAAAAAGAAATAACAACTTACACCACAGAAATACAAAGTATCATCAAAATATACTATGAACAATTATACACCAACAAATTGGACAATCTAGGAGCAATCATCAAATAACAAGTGTTGTCAAGGGTGTGGAGAAAAGGGGACTCTAGTACACTGCTGGTGGGAATGCAGACTGGTGCAGCCACTTTGGAAAACACTGTAGTGTTACCTCAAAAAGTTAAAAATTGAACTGCCATTTGACCCAGTGATCCCTCTTCTAGGAATATACCCTAAGAAACCTGAAACACCAATCAGAAAGAATATATGTGCCCCTATGTTCATAGAAGTACTATTTACAATAGGTAAGATCTGGAAACAACCCCAGTGTCCATCAATAGATGAGTGGATTAAAAAGTTGTGGTACATATACACAATGGAATACTATGCACCTGTAAGAAAGAAAGATCTCTTATCCTTTAGATGGCATAGAAGGACCTGGAGAGTATTATGCTAAGCCAAACAAGCCAAGCAGAGAAAGGCAAATATCACATGATCTCACTTACTTGTGGAATATAATGAACTAAACAAACTGATGAACAAAATTAACCCAGAGACATAGAGGTTGGTACATAGAGACTGACAAGCCGGGTTGGGGAGGAAGAGATAAACCACAGAACTTATATGCATGTATGCATGATCAATGGACATAGAAAACAAAGCTGGCAATGGGGTGGG